TTTGAATTGATGTTGTTTTTATTTAGCTTTGTTTTTGTAAATTACTTTTGTTTGAATATATTCTGAGCAAAAAGAGGCAGATATAAGATTTATTCTTCTTCTGCTACCTTTCATTTTATTTTTGATTGTATACATATTTTTCGTTTTCTATTGTATATAGTTATTTTGTTTATAATGAAATGAATACATTTCTAAATTAAAAAAAGTTGCTGTACATCATTTGACTTTGGTAATAAATCTCTTTTTTGTTGTTTACTGTCATGACCAGGTGGTTGCACAGACCACATGTCATCACTCCATCACATTATAGTGCAAACATTTTGTGTGGTAGTAGCTGAGGGTCATTCACAAAACATACTCTGAGCACGACATCTCACAAACACGAGATCATGTTATTTTCAAGGTAAAGATTTAAGCTCGACAAACATTTCATAGATCAACGAGATTAGAACCATGAGCCCAATATTGTTTCAGGTCCACTTATGAACATATTAATTACTTAAAGATGTTTGAGGACATCCGTGACAACCACTGAACGCCACTCTGTAATATTTGTAGTGTTAGATCTGCTGGCTCACGCGTACAATCTCTTTCATCTACCACAAGATGAAGTTGAAAGATCCTAGTTTTGTTGTTCGTTGTTGTTCATTGTAGACATTCACGTCATGTTCTGTCATCTGCTCGTTCAACAGAGTCAGAATTTTGAACGGAGAGAAAAGTAGGAAACCCAGATATGCACACACAAACTAACTCGTACCTCTGGGATTGCACATTTATAGTTTGATCTTTACCGGTAGCCCAGTGGGCACCATTCAGGCTCTCACAGAAACGAGTACGGTCACTTCTATCCTGAGAGTGTCAGGCTAAGTGTGGCGATAGAAACCTGCTCAAAGTTTGGTTCATACAGATTAAAACTAGATTAATTCATGCTCACAGTCTAAAAATCATGAGCTAAATTCTCATAACAAACTGGTTCATGAGTTTTTCATGAACAAATGTTGGTAAATGTTGGTAGATGACATCATGTAGTAATATTGTGTGTACATTCTGCTCTTTTCCAGCTGTTTTCATCTGCTTGTCTTTTTCTGTTTTACTGCCAAATGAATTAAAACCTGAAACATCTGAATTCCCACAAAAGCTGCTCTCATTCTAATATTTTTCTCTTTTTCTTATCCAAGAGGTCAAGGTCAAGGTTTCTTTATTGCCATTTATTGGAATGAAATTGTGTACACAGTGTTCCACTTACATCCAACAAAAGTATAAATTGTAAAATAAAAACAGTAATAAGATCAAAGATATGAACTGAGAATACACTAAGCACTAGTAGTACACAAACAATACAGTGAACAACAGCAGCACGAACATGAGTCTGTGTGAGGAGATGAGTACAAATGAATACAGCAGCATGAAATATCAATCAACCTTTATTTATACAGGTAAATCCCATTGAGCCTCGAGGACTCATTTACAAGAGAGACCTGAATAAATAAATCAGCAGCATGGATAATCAGCAGCACATATCAACAGTCAAGGGGCATTACAGTGATTTATTTATTTATTTTTCCTTCACAGTGATTATTCTGGTTAGAGATTCATGAGTTTAACAGCCTCAGGGTAGAAGCTGTTCCTCAGTTTAGTGGTTCTACACTTAATGCTCCTCAACCTCCTGCCTGAGGAGAGCGGGGCAAAAAGTGTGTGTGCTGGGTGAGTGGAGTCCTTCATGATGCAGGTGGCTCTCTTCCTGCATCTGGAGGTGTAGATGTCTGTGATGGTGGGGAGGCTGACTCCAACAGACCTCTGTGCAGCCTCCATGCTAAACTTTAACTACCTTAACTTGGTAAACTTAGCCTCCAAGAGCTAAACATGATGAAAGTCTGACTGAAAAGTGACCCATTAGAACCACATTTCATTGCAGTCACTTTTAAAGCACCAAGAGGTTGATTCTCTTCGTTAATAAAATCCCATTTTTATTCGAGCGCATGGTCAATTTGATAAAAATCTCCACTCATGTAAGTTAAATACTTTTATGATTCTATTCTGACTAAACTTGCATGTACAATAATAATCATTTTAAAAAAGTTAAAAGCGGCTTAATGTCATACATTTTTGTCTCAAGGCTGCTCCGCCTTACTTTGCTCCTTTCTGTCACCTTCATGCCAAAATCTGTATGAACTGAGTGAAAGGTCACGACTCTGTGCAGATTTCTGTTTTATAGACAACTTTAAAGCAACGCTAAGAGGTGTGCACTTGATCAATAAATGGCTTCCACAAAAACAGAAGTTCCTCCTTTTTAAAGTTAAACTAGAACGAAGCGTGACGATAAAGTTGATGCCCAAACTCCAACAGGATTTAGAAATAATACCTAGAACAACTAATACCTACATATTGATGTATAAAAAGAACCAAGATCAGAAGAAATGTTACTCCTGCTGCCAGTAGCTCATTGTGGTCACCGTGGTAACCACACACTGGTGTCTATCACTCCCTGACTGTCACATTAATGAGGGGCAGACAAAAATACAGACTAAAAGTAAGTCTGAAACCATTGTGGGGAAAAACAATAAATGAAATCTGTCAAACTCTTCAATTGAGTGACAGGAGACTCCGATGGTCACTCATGTTTTTATGTGGGAGATATGACCAAGTAAAGAGATTCTTTACTTTTAATTTTGAAGGTAATATTAGGGGTAAAATATCACTAAAGTCTATGGAAGCTTGGCTGTGCAGTCTGTATTCTTGAGGTGATATGAGAGAAAACCACGTCGTAAAGCCACAAGAGCCACACTGGGTGAATGGACAAAGAAAGCTGCGTTTTGATGTAAAATCTGTGCATGCACCCAAACGGATCGTGGGAGTCAGAGTAGTTTGTTTGATTTATAGTGTGTGACATCATCAATTGTCCAACATTCCCTGGAAACATGACAAAGCTTACAGCGTGATTGTGTAAAAACAATAAAAAGTATCGAGATGCCAGTTCAAACGTGTAAAGTCCAACTTTCTGTGACCAGTTTAAAGTTTGTATGCTGTTTCCACCGTGAAGTCTGTCTACGCCACTCAGCTTCAAAGTGCGAGGTTTTATGGTTTTGGCCAAAATCCAATTTTATTATATTTTTTCAGCAATTTTTGTCTATGATGTTTGACTTACCACCACCAGAAGTCATAGCACAGTCAAGCTGCTCGGTTTAGTGTGTAACTTAAATGTTTATTTTCACAGCTGCATAACAGAATTTTAACGGGACAATAAATAAGTCCATAAGTAATTAAGTCCTTTTGTTGTTGGATCCTCATCAATTTCAATTTCTTTGGTCAAAAAAATGAAATTTTATGGTTGAAAATGAACAATTCAGGACGCCGCTCATGAACAAATCTTTTCATTCGAAAAAGTTCGAGACAAAAACAATTGGACTTTATTTGTAACAGAAGACGTTGCGCTTCTCAAACGAAGAGCTTCAATTCAAAGAACAGAGTGTGGGGCTCGAGTTATAAAGCTGAGGTACGATACATGCATACTTACATATGCAGATTGACCTATCACACCTCACAATAGGTGTTCGTTAGGGTCTTTGTTAGGGTCTTTGTGAATCAAACTAACAAAGACCCTAACAAAACCCTATAGTGAAGAGCGATAGGGCAATCTGCATATGTATCTAGCTTAGCGCAGCTTTATATCTCGAACCCCACACTCTCTGTTCTATGAATGAAGAAAGCTCCTCGGACGAGAAGCGAAACTTCTTCTGTTACAAATAAAGTCCTGTTGGTTTTTTTTTTTTGTCTTGAACTTTTTTGAATGTACCATGTCCTGGATGACTGAGAATCTTCACCAGCAAATCTTTTCATGCACAACAGCGAGCGGTTCTGAGCAGGAATCGCGCCACTGACGCCTGACGATCCGGGCGTCCCTTTCTTTCTCATTAAGTGTTTATAAGCTGCCATCTTTTCTCCCCGTAGTGACTTGAATACAGTTGAGATTGTTCAGTGGATGCACTACAGGAGTAAAGTGGTGACAGACGATCAATAGAGATCTAATGATTAAGACATCAGGCTCTGTGGAGAGTTGGTGTGCATGTGTGTGGGAGCACCATATGTGAGTTTACAGCACATTCGTCACCTGCTGTTCTAATCTCCCTCGGCTCACACTTCTACCGTCGTATCAGTAAGCGTTTTTTTTGTTTGTTTTTTTTAGCACCTCTCATTCATACCTGTACATGCTTTGGTTTTCCACAGCGTTCTGAGATCTCTTTCCAGACACAAACCTTTCATTCTCTGCCCTCTGCACAGCCAGATCGGTCCACCTTAGATGTGGGGAAAAGCAGGTCTCTCGCTCTCGTTTCTCGCCAGGCCAGTGACCGTTTTCTGGCATGATCGATGGAGAGCAGGGATCAACAGCAGCAGACTTCACTGAGCCTGAGCTGAACGTCCACTTGGCAGAGACACAAACACAGCACCTCATTAAACTCAAAACTCCCCTCGCTGCCATTACGCAGCCGAGCCGCTGCCGCGCTGATGAAGATCTCCAGAGCACTGATGTAGGAAGGCTCTAATTGCCGCATGGTAATGTTGCGCCTCTGCATCCCCGCTGCGTCCACACTGATCCAATCGGCACAGCATTGTGCGCTGTGTAAGGGGGTTTGACTTATGCCTGCTAAAACTGCCATATTGATTCAGTCATTACTGAAGCGGCATCAGATTGGCTTGTAGGCACTGAGCGATGGTGTTTTGCTGTTTGCTGCTCCCTTCCATTTGTCTCTCACTGTCACTCTCAGAGAATTGTGTGAATGGATTTGGTGATCACAAGCTATGACTCCTCTGTCAGCCTCTTCACTTTCATTTCCCTTCACCCTCCCACTTCCTCTGATACACTTTGTAACCTCAAATCTTCCGTCTTTTCCTGTCTGGACTCTTTTTTTTTTTTCCTCTGCCTTCCTGTCTTTTCTTTTCAAGTGTCCTATTTGGCTATAATGACCTCTATGTTTCTTTTCTTCCTCTCTCTCTCTCGGCAGGTACCACCAGGCAGCCTAAGGAGGGGGAAGTACCTGGGGTGGACTACAATTTTGTGAGCGTGGAGCGTTTTATGGAACTGGAGCAAAGTGGAGCTCTGCTAGAGAGTGGAACCTATGAAGGTGAGATGTGGGAGCGTCTGCGAGGCGAGCTTGGGGAGCAGGAAACTGGGAGTTTGGAGCTATTTTCAAATGTATTCTGCCCTTCTTCGGTGTGAATATCTTTACTTGATTAATCAGATGTGTCAGGTGACGCAGCTCAAGTAAACAAACTTGAAGCCTCGGCGCTAATATAAACCCAGTATTAGAGCTTCCTCTCGTGGTTGTCGAGCGCAGAATATTTCCGTGCGTGTCAGCTGAACTAATGCCAGTTCCACGTCACGTCACGTCTGTGCATCTCTGCTTTGCAACACTGTCAGGGATACATCTACAGATGGAGGATTTGCTGGTTCATTTCCCCTGAAGAAATGTTAAAAGCGGCTGAGCTCGCTCACACAGTTTGTGTGTGAATGTGCATGTGAAGAGGCTACAGGCGTGTGTGTGTGTGTGTGTTCATGTGTGCGTTCCCTCCTTTCTTGTGCACATTACAGTTGTGTGTACTTGTATGTTTCCCCTTAACACAGAGCTTAGTTATGCCCGTTGGGGGAAGCTGTGTCTCTCTAAGTGGCTGCAGTGGAGGTGCTGCAGCTCATTTTCTGATTCGCTTTAAATTAAGAACGAGAACACGAAAGATGGGAAGATTTGAGGTAAGAAAAGCAAAAGAGTACGTTTTTAGAAGGTGTTGGGTTTGGATGACATGTTCAAGTAATAGTAAAAAATGTTTTTGTGTAAGAGCTCTTGTTTGAAATTTTGAGATGCATTTAGTCTCTTTTCCCTTCTCTAAGAACGTTCGTACAAGCTGCAAAAAAAAAAAAAAAGGGCCTAGCATTCCTTGAAGAATTGCATGTCATCTACCGTTCTTTCATGCCAGAGTTTCTGGCTAAAATCACATTTTTATCAAACTCTTATAGTAACAGTGTGCACACTCTCATGCAATATTGCCAAATCTTGCGTGATCTGTTTGCACTTGGAGTATTGTGAATGACTGTCAGCTGTAACCACTCCAAATTTTAGCCCAGTATCTGTAAAATGCACTGAGATGAAGCCATTTTAGTGCAAGCGGATGTTGATAAGTTGTTGCCTCTATCTTGAATTGGATTGACTCAAAAAGTTAATCAGTTGTCGATTAACGCAATAATAGTCTCATTAAAAGCCAATGTGTAACTCATGAGAGATTCTGCTAAAGGTACAGAGAAATAAACGAACACTCTCAGGCCAAAGCATTGCATTCGCTCTTCGTGGCGATCAATAATAGCTCTTTTAAGTCATGACCTGAAATGTTAAAAAATATTTAAAAGTGCATTTTTATTTGTTTACGTATGTCAAAAAAAATGACCAAAAGTTGCTGCTGAAAATCAAAACTAAACGTAAACAGTCAACAGAAAGTTGCAGATCTCATGTTGTGGGGGAGGAGCTAAACAGGGAGCTGCTGAGGAGACGGCCAGTGGACAAGGATGCACAGAAAGTGGTGTGCAGGGAGCCACTGTCGGGCCACGACTTCAAGCTAACCCCAGACTGACGGTATCATCACTTCTTCTCACCAGCGTCCATTTCTTGGGAAATAGGAATGATTATTTAATAGTGTGATTACACACAAAGCACAGTGTAAGAAACTTGTGTGTCTTTTGACTGACTTCATGGTGGTGTTCCTGACTCTTAAACCCAGCTGGACGGGCCAGCATGGTTCTGTGCTAACAAACTGTTAGAGAGCTCCACTGTAGGAACTGAGTGCTCTGGATCTGAGTCGTGTCTCTGAGCTCAACAATGAGGTGATGATGGAAGTAGTGAAGAAGTGTTGGAAACTTCTTCAGCCTTTGTTTGAACGGCTGCACTACCACCACCCACAGGCCAGTACGGCAGTCCCATTAAAACGACTTGCACGATATTTGGAAAATGTGCAATTTAATGTTTCTATCAATCAACACTTTTTTTAAAATCAAAATCAAAGTTAAACACAAATCTACAACCAGCTGTCTCAGTCTCCAAATCATTAGGAAGTCTTTTAAAAATGCTCAGTCTGTTTCTTTCATTTCCAAGGTGCTTTGCAGGTGATTCCATGCATTAGATGCAACATATTTTAATAGTTTTTTGTTCCCAACTCTGTACAGACTTTGGTACTGTCAACAAGAGGACATTCTGAGACTGAAAACTGTAACCACTTGAGCTTTTTGATGCATATAGGCCTGAAGTTATCAAGTCAGCAAGCCCAAAATAGTCTTGTATACCGTACTTGTATACCGTACTTGTGTCCAGTTTCATTACTTTTTTGTCTGTCTGAACAGATCAGAACTGTACAATATACCAGTGCGTCTGTCTGCAAGTAGACAAATGAGACGATCTAATATAGCAGACAATGGTTTGTGAGTCTTATATACCTCGTACTGACTCTTAAAGCTCCACAATAAACAAATTATTATGGCCACTAGTTTGGGTCTTCAGCCTCTTGCGATACTTTACAATTTTAATATTGCACAGTCTTGTTTTGCGATGATGATAGTTTCAACATAATGTGCTGCTCTAATAAAGACTGTGGTTACATGTCACAGACCAGAGAGCCACACAAATCTGCTTTGAGCATCAAACTCTGCTTCACGAGCTTCATGTGGTGTGATGCTTCTCTCTCGTTTTGTTCAATCTCCAAGACATCGTTCCATGAAATGAAGCTCTTGGTCAGTAGCTTCAGGCAACAAGACCGCTAAACTCTCAGTAATGCTAATGGACAGGATTAACAAGGTTTAATGGCTTGATAGTTGCATTGTAAAGTTGATTAAAGCTCAGATTGAACTCAAAGTTTCTGGCAAACCAAAATGTTGTGGCACCTGGGGGAAAAAAGCGTGGTAGTGATGGAAGAATGCATGTCTCGAGATAAACACAGCTTGTGTCTCCTGAGTCAGTCTGAAACAAGCAGACGACACGTGGCGGCCTCTTCAGTTTACACTGTCACTCCTTGTCCCAAGACAGGACACCTGTGGATTGAAAGTGTTTTAAATCAGGGTAGACGTGGCACTTTCTACCTCAGAGAAATGGCTACCTGGATGCTGAACTGCTCAGCTGCAAACGTTTTGTAGCAGTAAAATTGTGTTTGAGTCATAGTCGTGGAATTTTTTATAGACATTTAGAAAAAATCCCTGAAAGAGTGATGAGACAATAAGAGACTGAAACAAAGTCTTAAAATTTGTTAAGGTAGCAGTATAGATTGTGTTGTTTGTGTTCAGAACAGCTTGCGTTTGTAACCGAGTCACAGCTGAAGGTGGCTGTAACCGTACAGAAGCTGAGAACCTCCGGACACGGCAGGCAGTCAAGTTTTTGCTCTGAAGCCCGTGTGATGCACAAAGGACCCAAACATCGCTCGATGCGCTTTATGTTCCCTGAAGCATCTCATCCGGTTAGCTCTAAGCTCTCGGACGTAGGGGGCTTTCTGCTCGTACGGTGTCATACTCGAGTCTTTGTTTACTTATACACACATCTGCATTTTTGACGGGGTGTTAATTTTGTTTCAAGAGCAGCAGGAAACAAAAGCTTCAGTAGAGCTCCTCATATCTTTCCACAGTCACCAGGGTCATGAAGTGTTTTTAACACTGAAGGCGATAATGTTTAAACCCGTGGGTATGTGCTCATTTGTCTGTAGTGTTAGCAAAATATCTGCTGAACTACTGGACAGATTTTAATGAAAGCCTTGACAGTAGTAAACGGATGTACATTTACAACTAACAAAGTTTTGTAGTGGTCATAGTGCTGGGCGGTATGACTAAAAATTTGTATCACGGATTTTTTTTTTTTAAGATTCTGGCGGTTTCACTGTATTTTTTTTTTTTACTTGGCTTTTTATTTTTTCCCCTTGACGGTTTTTATATACGTTTGTGGTTTATTTTACTGTCAGGAGTACAGGAGTACAAGGCTTTAAATCAAGGCTGTAATCAAAGTATCAATTACTTTGTCCCCCCCCAAAATTACACAATATATGAATGAGTCAGTATGAAATGGCAGAAAGAGGTGCAGAATGTAAAATGTTTTTATTGTGCAAAATGCAACATATTAAAAATAAAACATGCCAATTTTAACACACCTTTCTTTTTAAAACAAAATATTTTAAGATGGTTCTATAAGCACTACAGATTTGACCTAAAATACTCAGTGTTTTAACATTCAGGTGTTGCGAGTATGTAAGTATTGCACAAGTAAGACACGCTTAATACGTCATCCTTGAAGCCAAGGTATTAAAGTATTAGAACGTCGCTCCTTACCATTGACATTAATTAAAATGTCGCTGCACCGCTTGCTTTTCCGGTCATATGCCGTACCTCGAGAAAATGCCTGTTCAAGCGATGTCTGACCCTTTGGCTTAACCGTTTCACTGGCGCTACTGGTTGACGGCGTCGAACCCGAAGACCGTAATAGCATACATTCTTGGTATTCCAATACGTTTTCTGCTGAGGTGATGGAATAAGTTGCTAGTGTTACCACCACCGGCAGCAACGGCGGCATGACAAACTTTGCAATATACAAACTTCTGGTCTACGTCTGATTATTTTTTTTAAACCCAAAAACTTCCAAACTTCAGAAACAGCTCCTCTCGTGGGCACAAGTTCTTCTTTTATATCTCCAGTCTCACTTTCTTTATCTGTTTTCTGTTCTTTATTCCAACTTACGACCAGCTGTTAGCTAACAGATTGTTATGCTACCTGCTGAGCTCTACCTTACACGTCTGTTGGCGGTGCCGTTCCACGCAGCTCTCTCTAGCGCTTCTAGCGGCAAACATTATATAAACTGTTGCATGTTGAAGCGTTAAAGCCATTTTCTCAGCTATGCCACAGTGTAGCGGTACATGAAAAATTCATACCAGAGGGGAAATTACAACTGGTATACTGCCCATGCACCAAGTCAACCCGATTTAAAACGGCTATCACAGCTAAGCAACTTTAGCAAACACAAATTTGTCTCTAAATTATCACATTTCACAGACAATGAGTTAAAATTCAGTGTGGTAGTAGCTGACAGTCACCCCATCACATAATCTGAGCACT